TCATTTGTTGGTCTAGAACAACGGTAATGAGCTTGGCAGTCATCTTCCCTAGGTGCCACACCATGCCCGCCACCTCCTGATGACAAAGTCAGCTCATATAGAGTAATCATAACTGTGTCACTTTCTGTCGATATGATACATGTGAAATGTACAAAACATAAAATCTGTGGTTTGCAGAAATGTACAGTGCAAACACTCTCTTGATGACTGGGTTGTTAAAAGACATCCAAAGTCTAGTGAAGGATGGTATCAAGTTGTGATATGGGAGGTAATAGATACATACTTTTTGGAGATTAAAAGGACATCTCTACGTGGGCTGCATTCTTTTTTAAATCTCTCTCACTCACGTCATGTCACTCAACTTTATGTAAGTGCAACTCAAAATCACAGAGCGTTTCATTTTGTTATTTATGTGGTTGCACACAATTTCTAACACCATATGACCTAAGTGCATGGGGTTTCACGCACTCACACACATATACTAATTTTTCCTGCCTTGAGGGGTCCACGCATTCTATGCCCATTTGTGGGGTCCAAGCGTGGAGAAAAAACAACCTATAAACTGTTCTAAAGCAGAAATCTGCAGCTTTTGCATGTTCAAAAAAACAGTAAAGATAACAGTTCTTTTGTTGTGTTTTTGAAGTTGACATTTTTGCTGTATACGTGCAGTGAAGAGGTCATTAAGGATAAAGTTAAACGGCAGAAAATAACTGGCAAAATACATTAAAAGTAGAGTATATATAATTATTATTGCTCTTGAGTTTGTGGTTTGAAATTGCTTTTTCCTACTTGGTACCTGTGTAGTCATAGCCAGAACATCATTCAGCAGAAATTCTCTATCGTCATATCAAGGTTAAGTTGTCTGTTGCTAAGTCCATTGTTTATTAAACTAATAGACAAGATGTGAAGATGCAGCTAAAGCCCAGAAAGAGTCCACTTTGGTGACAAGAGAGGCATCACCATATGCAGATGATGCTGTCCTACTGGCTGATAAATAAAAATACCATAAAACATACAACATTGCATTTACATAGATCAGTCCACAAATACATTCAACATGGAGATACTCGTGATATAGCACCTGTCAGTTTTGACTGTGGGTATTCAAATGTAGGGATTAAATCACCATGAAGAGCCTGGTTTCTGTCAGGAGGTTGTCTGTGTTCACACAGTACTGATATCTGAATCCTGGGACTCTTGGTGAAGAACACTGTTGGTCTCTATAAGGTAAAGTGATGGTGCTGTGAAGGAACTGTTTTTTGTATACACTTAAATACCCAGCTTTATAAAATTACCATACTGTTGCTTTGCTCACCTTTTAAAATGATATACTGTTGACTTCATTAACAGAAATCCTACGTATAGCTAGTACTGTTTTTGGATTGCAAAGATAATTTATGTTGTGTTTTCCCTTTGTTGCATCATGCCATAATGTACTGATGACTTTACCAGAAAATGACAGATGTGCTATTTTTAAACAAACTCTTTTTTTGCCTTTTGGGGGTTTAACTTTTACAGAACTTCTATTTTTAATGCATTTGTGCACTGACACATTTAAATGTGTAAAAGGATAGGAAAGGAGAAAAAAAAGGGCCTCTATACTTGGACGAAGGGTGATGTGTATTTATTTATGGACGGGACAAGAAGTAGTGATGGATATGCATGTGCATTTATCATACCTTTTGTCTTTCCTCGTGGGAAGGGAGAGAAGAAAGAAGAATGAAAGGGAGAAGAGAAGAAAAAGAATGGGGGAATGGAGAGAAAAAAGAGAGGAAAGGAGGGGGGAAAAGGGGACAGAGAGAGGAGAAGGGGAGATGGTAAGATAGGGATGGGAGGATGAGAGAAGAGGGAGAGAGGAGTAAGAAAGAAAGAAGAAGGGACTTTCTGCACAGGCAATTTTTTTGTTTGTTTTTTTTATACCATTTTTTAGAACATTCTGCTTGTTTCGAGTGAATGACAAGCTGGACTCACAATATGTATGCTTAAATATTATAAAAACATACTGTGGCATAACCACATGTTTAACAGTGGAAACTCTCCCATAGCTATGAAAACAGCACTATGATAACAATAATATTGTGAACGTGTGCCAGTAAAGTGAATTTGCATCTTGCTGTGAGCTAGACAGTGCAAAAGAACACCTGGCATAAGAAAATTGTAATATGCAAAGTAAAGCAAAGTGTTGTGGAGACAAGTCAAAATGTGTTTATCTGTGGCAGCAAATAAAAAATAGCAGGATTTTGTTTTTTGAATGTGAAGGGAGCATTGTGTGGAGGTGTTGGAGACCTGATAGCTGAAGGATCAAATTTGAATCCTTACTCAAAGAAAGATAACTGCAGAGGGTAAGTGAATAAACATCATCATCCCCTTACACAACATCTGTTGTTCTACTGATCAAGATGATCAACATGCAGCAGCTTAAGTGCAACAGTAGCAGACCGAACTGTTTCCACTGCAGATATTTTGACATGACACTGCAAGGCAAGCGTGTATACTAGATAATATTTTGGTAACAGCAGCTCCCAAGGTCTAAAACTTAATCATGGACAACTACAATGCAGATTCTAATATATTTGTAGCTGTCAGGGAGGTGGACATCTGACTGGTTTCTATTTTATATTTAATCCAAAGGCAGTATTAGCTTACTAATATATGTGTCTCACCTTTTTTTCTTATTTAAAAAGGTGCAAAAGTTGTATAGTGTACTGACTGTACTTTACCTGCCCAGCACCAAATGGCAGACAAAGCGCTAATGAACATAGTTGAGCATTAAGTAGCTAAAGAGACAGATATTCCCCAGAGGACTTGGTGGAAAACAAAACAGAACTAAAATGAGTGTGAATTTTAGACAGTGACCGGAAACATGACTTCGAATGAATGCTCAAGTTGCTCCATGTCAGCTTTTTGATAACATGTTCGCCATATCATCGTTATCAGTCAATAATATGTCAACGTCATGTTCAGCCTGTTGTGCTGCCCCCAAGTGGCCAAAGAAAACCTTTCAATTATTGCAGGTTTAAAGCTGTAGTTGGTGACTTCTATAAAAAAAATTGTTTTGTGATATTTGCTGTCACTCAGTACGTTTACGTGGACAGTTTAATTCCACTTTCATTCGGAATGAAAGGCCATTCCGATTAAAAGTGGTCATGTAAACGGTCATTCCAATGGTTTATTCCGTTTGTCATTCTGAATGAAAGAATTTTGTGTGCATGTAAACCCTCATTCCTCTTTAAGTTCATTCAGTTCTTTCTGCGCATGCTCGTTTCCTTGACCTTCTGGCGCGATGATGTATATAGCGTGCATAGCAATGGGCTGAGATAGAGCAGTCGGACTTGTGGCACTCACCGGTTTCCATTCGCCACAGCACGGTCTTCTATCTCCCTTCTCCTCCTCAACAGACGAAGCATTAGCAGAACAAGGTTGTTGTTGTACTGCTGCTTCAAGAATATAAGCAAAACAAGCCCAAAAAAGGCACTAAGAATGGCGTCGTCAAGCATCTTGTTATCCAGAGCGAGGACTACAGTGTTTTCTTCCGGTAAACGTAAACACGTAACATCTGCCCTGCCCCCTATCCAATCAGAAACCTTCTCTGCCCCAAACCTTGCGCAGACCTGAATAAAGGAGATTGAACCCTCATTCGGAATGAATATTTCCCATGTAAACTACCTGGAAAAACTTCAATTCCGAATGATTTCATTCAGATTTATTTCATTCTGACTGAGAAGCCATCATGTAACCGTAGCCGCTGTATCCTGAAAGTAGTAGACTGGAAAAAAAGTTCCTTCTCCATAGTGCTTCTAATGGCATTTGCTAGAATCTACTACAGCTTAAGGAAAACAACCAATCAGAGCCCAGGGGTCTTTAACACATTGTCAGTCACTGCTTGTGAACTGCGGTCAAACTGTCAAACTATGCACCGCTGATGAAATATGAATCGAGATTCTGTAACTGCATTGCCTTTCCCCCTGAGATGTTCTCACTAATATATTTTGTGTACTGGTGAGCTGTAAAATTAGAAAGGCTGCTCTGGCCGGTGGGCAGTGCTTCGTTTTGGCTTGACTGTTTTCAACACGTCAGCCGCGTCACAAACTTTCTTATTTTACAGCTAAACAGTGCACTAAAATATGTATCTGAAAACTTTTGAGGAGAGAAATAAACAAATAAAGTAACAGTATCTTGATTTATATTTGATCAGCGCTGCCTAGTCTGACAGTGTGATGGCAGTTCACAAGCAGTGATTGACATGATTGATGAGAGACTCCTCAGCTCTGATTGGTTGTTTTTGTTCATGTGTGGCAGATTCTTGCAAATGCCATTAGGAGCACTAAAAGGAGGCAGAGGAATATAATGTTTTTTTTTGTTTTTTTTTTACAGATTATCTGTCTCATGTACTTCCTTGTGGATGTAGTGACAGTTTCTGTAACAGGTGGAGTTTGGTGCACACACAAAGGCGAAGTGTGCCTCCACACAATGAAGAAATTCACAGCTCAGAAGATCAAAGGTGACTGGACCGGTAAACTCACTATGGAAAGCTCGGTGACGATTTTTCCAGACAGCTGCAGGAAACAGGAACTAGGAAGGCAGCAGCAGAGCTTGTGGTTGAAAACAGAAGGCAGAGTGGTTTACCAGGGAGCAGACGAAGCAGGAGAGTCAGGGACGGACAGGGTCGAAACAAACGCTGAAAAGTCTTGCATGTAAGCGGGCATCTTTATAGTGACAGTGACGGGATAATGATCCACAAGTGAGCGGCGTTAGCCTGATGAGGTGGCCGTGGTTAACCGGCAGGAGCGGGACAGGATATGGTGTGTATGGAGGAAGAAAAGTGCCCAATGTGACAGTTTCAGCAAATATGAAAAAAGTTATTTTCATAAAAGTTACCAACTACAGCTTTATTATAAAATACAGAGCAGTAGATCTTTAAATGGGATTTCCATGTTGTCAAAATATCCTCTCTTTTGACAGACATTCAACACAGACAGCACCTCAACTCAGCCACAGTGATGGAAAACTTTGGGAGTAACAGAGACATCAATCAGAACAATACAAGCAATGGCTTTGGTTCCCTTGTCTGGTACTTCCTGCCCACTGTGGTTGCAGTGCCACCATTTGGGTTTCTAGCCAACTGTCTAGTCATATGCCTCCTGCTGGGCAAACCTGGTATCTGCTCCACCTCAGAGATCTTTATACTCAACCTGGCACTATTCGACATGCTGTTTTGCTTACTAGTCCTCATTGAATACATCTGCTTCCTGTGCAATCAAACACTGGAGGCCTCCAACTTCCTGTCATGGGGTTTGAATCAAACTGGAGGGCCAATTTTGCTCTGCATTTTGGGTTTGGATAGCTACATGGCCGTCTGCCACCCGCTGGTCTTCCTACGGCTGAAGGATCCTAGAGTGCGACTGTCGTTGTGCTTGGTGGTGAGTGCCATAACCGCTGCAGGTTGTGGCCTGGTGAAGGTCTCTGCAACTTACAAGTGGAATGTGACAATGGTGATCCTGAGCGGTGCCAGTGTAACCATATCAACCTGCAACATCCTGGTTCTCAAGTCCCTCCGCCAATCAGGACCCAACAAGAAGGAGGTCCATCCCGTAAAAAAGAGAGCATTTAACACAGTGCTGACTGCGTTAGTGCTGGTCAACATCCACTACCTCCCCCCAGTCATCGAGTCCCTGGTTAAAAAGTTTGGTCCTGGGTTTTTCACACCCTTCTCATTCCTCAGCGGTATAACCTACACAGCTCTCTCCCTGAGCAGTTTCGTACAGCCAATGTGTTATCTCGTCCGCACCAAACAGCTGCCTAAGATGAGATTTTACTGCAGCTCAGCTGCTGAGACAAAAACTGTGGCAACAGTTTAAAGCAGCTCTACCTTCGTGACATATAAAGCCAAATGTAAGGAAAGAGCTGGGGATTCATTACAGAAAAATATCTTAACTTGTCCTATCTTAATTTAAAGATCTAGTGTCTAAGATTTAGTGGCATCTAGCAGTGACATTACAGAGCTAAAACTTCTCCCATGTGCCGAACGTGTAGGAAAAGAAAAGTAGCAGATACAGAAAGGCAAAAACAGGAATGGCCCTGTCTAGAGCCAGTGTTTGATTTGTTTGTTCAGGCCTAGTGTAAAACAACATGGCTGACAGCTCAATCTAATATAACAAAAACACAAGAATTCTTTTTCCGGTGATTATAAACTAATGAAAACATAAATATGAATATTACATACCATACCCGCTAAATCCTAATCTGCTGAATACTACAAACTGGATCTTTAAGTATCAAAGACATGAAAGTCCTATCTTCCTATTACAGAAGCAACTTCTTAACTCATGGCTGTGTCCTGTCCTATCTCAGACCATCTATCTGTGATTGGAGTGTACCGGTAAGCTACGCGAGTTGAACAGAGTTTAGATACCAACAGCTCCAATTTGCAATCATGGACAAAAAAATATGGGCGTTCAATTTTAGCTACAAGGAGTCAGAGGCACTAATTGTGTAGGTGGAGGAGAGGAAACCCCAGCCCCACTTTTTCTGATAGTTTTCTTCTCAATTATTTGAATTCATCATTAATCAGAATTAATTAACCTGAATTTATCAAAATTTAAAGCGTCAATTTAGGACAGGGTTTATGCCATCTTAATTTAGGATTCCCAACTTGTGAAATGAATGGTTCTGTAATAGCTAAATATATATCCTAAGATAAGACAGAATTTTTCAAAAATCGCAGATAGGAATTAGCAACCAGCTGCATACAGCAATCTGTGACTCAAAACGAATATGTGCAAGGGATGTAAAGTTGGGGGGTAATGGCCCTTTTCCTACGTCCTACCCCCTACTTCCAGACCCTTTGCTCGAACCACACCCATCTCCAAACCCTGCCTTCATTTTGATCTAAACTACAAACCTGTAAAGTTCATAACTGAATCTTGCACAGTTGTAACGCTATTGCAGTGACAAAATCTGCCCACACAGACATGTAAACACTGGGCAGGGTACTCAAGTTTCTGCACAGGTACAACAGGTGTCACCAGGACCACATTTTGCCACGAAGACACAGACACACAGTCACAAGGTGAAACAATCCCAGGCGTTGTGACGCTTCACAGCAGGTTAACATACTATATAATGACGAAAACTCTGTCTGTTCCACGTTTTTCTCCTCACTGACTTGGTCAATCCATGTGAAATTTGGCACAGTGGTAGAGGGTCATGGGAGGATGCCAATGAAGCAATATTACATCAACAGCCAAAGAGGGGCGCTATAGCAACCGATTGAAATTGCAAACTTTGAATTGGCATATCTCATGCCCCGTATGTCGTAGAGACATGAAACTTTTAAAATCTATCTCTTCCTAGGAAGTTTGACCGATCTGCATGAAACTGGGTGAACATAATCTAGGGACCAATATCTAAAGTTCCCTCTTGGCAAAAGTTGGAAAACTTACTAAAACTGAGCTTCTATAAAGCAATGAATATTGCGGAGGGCGTGGCTCATCACATAAAGGTGTATAACATCTCAAGGGTTTCACCCACACATAATCTGAGGGGACCCCTCCATTATTGACCCCATCAAACAAAATGGGGGCGCTACAGAGCTAATTTCTTATCTAGGCCTAACCGCCATATGGATTTTTACTAAACTTGGTAGATATGTAGAACAGGACGCCTCAAGGTGACTGGAGAAATTTAACTCTAATTGGCAACTGGGTGGTGCTATAACAACAGAAAAATGCTTCAAAATGGCTAAAATGCGACCGATCGCTGTGGCTCCCCCTGTGGACCAATGTTGTTGTTCTTTTTTAATTTTTGGTATGACTAAGTCATGGTATGGTATGCTGTACATAATCACGGAAACTGTCAGTGTGTCATTCTGTCAGTCAGTCAGTCATTCTGTCTGTCCCACGTTTTTCTACTCACTGACGTGGTCAATCTATGTGAAACTGCACATAGGTATTGACGATTGGCATAGGTAGAAGGTGACAAAGTTTCTGTAATGCTAAACTCCTAAATCTCATCCTTAACTGAGAGAAGATGCAATTTCAGATAACTGTAGTGGGATGAAAATCCCACCATCCCTGGATGGTGGGATGAAAATACATTCACATGTCATGCATTTATTTTCATATTATACAAAATGCTAGTTTGTTGACTTTATATAGATTGATTTTAAGAATTTCAGTTAAAAAAACTGTTGTAGTTTTTCTTTCAATGCTTGAATGTAAACCTGAAGTTCCTTTTTTGTTTTCCTGTATCTTTTCTATATTACATATGGTAAAATTGATTTTGGTCCTCAACAGTGATGAGCTAACAAATAACTGTATTATAAAGGTATACCATTGAATTGAAGCCGGGCACAGCTAAAAACAACAGCTGGAACTTTGTATAGAAATTTAATAAGGGTTTGGGTTTTTTGTGTGTATTGTCATAGCACTGTAGTAAGTATGTTCTCAACATTAGAAAATAGGACTTTATAAAACAATAAATGCAATGACAAAAATGTATTACAATGTTTTATTTATGAAATCAGACAAACACCCGAGTTTGGCTTACAAATAGGCATTGATAGTCAAATACTCTGGAGAACACTTCAGGCAGATTCTGACACATAAATCAGTTTAATTCAAAGAGAAAATAATTGGCAGTGACGGATATGAATGTCTGAAGTTACTGTTTAAGTTAGGCTTGTTTGAAACTGAGAAAAATTAAACTTACATTGTCAGACATGTTTGAAAGAGATGAACCTGATTAACTGTTACACCTAAGCTTCGTTTGTGCATCTGCAAACACTAACAAGAATCTGAGACACTGAAGCTGCCTGTGTTGTTGTGTGTTCAGTGAAGAGCACAAAGATAAAAGCATTTAGACTGTACAGGCTGTTCAACAGCTTTCAAAAATATAAACTTCAAATTTCACCTTTTTTAGGTGATATAAGTGAAAGAAAATATAAACAAATATTATAGTGCTTCCAACAGAGGAGTTCCTAAAGATTTGTAAGCATTGCAAATGATAATTCATGGTTACACACAATCAAGCTTTAAATATTTGTAATGAATTAACTACAATCACCAGTTTAAATACAAAATGCAATGCACTAACATTACACATTCATATAAATTGCAAAAATTATATCAAAATATAGAAGTATATTATAAATAATTCCTGATGCTGAATTTGTGATGATCCAAATCACAACTGTCTGAAAACAAGGAAATGTTCTTAAAGACGACTACATATTTAATAAATGAAATCGGTAAGAAATGGATTTTTTTTTATTTTTACCTGGATTAATCTCTAGTGCACTTCATCAAACACAAACAAATAAAAAAACACAAACAAAAAGTATCTAATATTTTCTGTAAATGTTCTGTATAACAAACACAAAGAATACATGGGGAATGATTGAATGACATTGACATAGGTTGTCTGTTGTGTGAATTCCAAACAGGTACTCATTTATCAATTTATCTGTTACGAAATCATAATTGAATATTCTCGTTTTGCAAATAAATAACACTTTTCTTTCTCATACAAAATCTGTGTTGTGAATATGTACAAAGAAGTAGAATGTCATGAAGTCGAACTGACATCTTTTAAAAGTTTAGAAAAAGAGGTTTTCAAGTATTCAAGTACCGGTAAGCTGCATATTTTATAATTCGTAGGAATAATAAATCAAACAACACTGATTAAAAACATTCACTGCTGCCCTCTGTATAAATTCTACCTACTGTTTATAGGATGGTACATCCCATCAGTCACAACATCAGCAACAACCAAATATCGAAAGTGTCCTGTTAAAATGGTGCAACAGCTGCTTCAACCATTCAAGATAACAGGAAACCAACGTGCGATTGAGAACTTCATGAAACAGAACCTCATGTTGTAAAGATATTAAATATTCAAATCAATTCAGTGCCCAAAAAATGGACAGAGCATGTTAGAAACAAGCCTTTTAAACTCCATTTATGTCACTTATGTGCGACGGGCGGGAAGCTTTGAGGTGAAAGCTTGCAACGAGAGTCAGTAAAGTTATTCTGCAACACTGTTTTTCCTTTGAATTTGTCAGAGTACCATGAAGCATGGCCCTTAACACTAAACTGGTATACAGACACATCACTTTATTGGGGAGCTCCCAGGTAGGACTGTGTGCTCTACAAATGTTAAGTAGGAAAAACCTGATAAATAGTAATAACAAGAAAAGTTAAAAATTATTCTGTGGCACTTTCCGATGACCAAAACCATAAAGTTTCCAGAACTTTATGCTCTAAAATGGTTTTACTAGGTAGATTTTTGGTTTTTAAGAAACATATCATACACTTCATTCTGTACATTAATTCAATGTCCAATGTGCACCTTAATTGTGCACAAAAAACACCTCCTATGATTTCAGTCACTTTAACGTTAAAAATCAAAAACACAGCAACACAGGAAAGACGCTGCTCGACACTAAAAATCTTTTCAGTAGCATTTGGCCTTGAACACACCGGACCATCAAATAGCTTGTTTGCAATCACGTGACTATGACGTGCAAAATTCAGATGGAGGGCAGGAAGTGATGAATCCATACACTGTGAACTGGATATAGAGGAAAGTGACAATATAAAAGGGCTGGATGAACCTGCAGGCAGCAGGCATCGTCAGAACATTGCCTGCACCAGGCTGACTGACAGCAGACATTTACTGAACCAAAATAGTTTTCATGTCAGCAACATGGGAGGAAACCAACTGTGTTTGTGTTTATTGATTCATTGATGTTATTTCCCCGCCCACCACAGAGAGTAAGGGGAATCTGCTGCTCAGACGGACTGGTGGCTGATCAACTAATAAATAAAAGGTTATTAAGATAAACCCATATACAGTGGGATATTTGTGGGATTTAAGCCGCTGTCTGTGCAGATTACTCTTTACTAAACAGAAACAGATATAGACTCAGACCATAAAAAAAAACGCAGGGGGTCTCTGGTTATCATGCAGACAACTGAAACCTTTCAATGAAGCATTCATTGAAAAAGTCACACAACTGTTTAGTTTCTGTCGAGTGGCACTCTTCAAAAGTGTTGAATGCCCAAGTATGAATCAGTCTTGAATGTTCCTGTCTTTAATATGTTAACTTAGCACATGGATGCACCGCTGTCAGGCTAACCTTACTAGCTAATGTTAGCTAACTTTAGCTACTGTTTTCCACCTACCAAGTCACCCGTTCCCAGAAGTCTGGTGGAATGCCGTTGAAAATTTGGGTCATGGCAAGAGACAGAGAAGTTGTCACATGACATTGTGTTTGCATCCAACTCGTGGTACGTTCAACACAATGCTTTAATGTTTACCTTTAAAATTAGTTGACATGGGCGGGGTCGGCCTGCTCTGTGGCTGCGTGGGGATCCGAGGCAGAGCCTTCACTTCTCTTCCTCCCTTTATTTTTATTTATCCCCCTTTGTTTAATTATTTATTTATCATTATTATCATCATTATGATGATAATGGCAATGATGATGATGATTTTTGTGTGTGATGATGATGATGATGATTATTGTGTGTGTATGTGTATGTATATGTGTGTATGTATATATACACTTTTATTATTTTCATTATTATTATGATTATTATTCATTTATTTATTTTCTATTCGCTTAATTTGTTTGTTTATTTTCTCTTTCGCCTCCCCCCTTCAATGCCTATGACGATAATGTTGTTGTTGATTATTACTTCTTTTTATTATCATCATTAGTATCATTACTACTATTATTATGTATGTCGTTGTCACCATTTATATTTGTCGTTCATTAGTTACAACACACGCACACACCCATGCACTCACACACCCACAGTCACTAAGTGTTGTTTCGTCATGTCATATGTCTCTTTATGTATGTATGTATGTATGTATGTATGTATGTAGCCTTATTTCACGTGTCCTTACATGTATCTTGTCTTGTTTCACAATTAAAAAAAAAAAAAAAATTAGTTGACTCCAATCTTCCAGACTGAAGATGAAGGTTTTTGATCTGCTGCTCTTTCAGTGACTTTTTTTTTTTTAATAACTTCTCCCCTTTACGTCCTACTATTTATGGAACTTAAAGTGGCCCTTATTTTTTCCTCAATTTGATCAATTGGAACATTTGTGCAGTGTTTGTAGTCTTTGCCCCCAGTTGCCTGCCCTCCATCTGGACAGTGCACAGATTGATGACATCATATGCAAAAAAAAATTTTTTTTTTCTTTAAATAGAGTACAATGCAAAGATATTAACTGATATGTTGGAATGAGCCGTCTCGTCTTGGTCAGCGAGTGCCGCGTCTCATGTGGAGGCGATCGTTCCATGCACGCGGAAACGGTAAAGACACGTGTATTCGACATGACCCCAGTTACTGAGGACACGCAGCTCCACAACTCGATACACCACATCACTGGGGTTCTGTATGAGGATGGAGGAGGGCACAGGAGACACAAGAGGAAAGGGAATGAGAAGAATAAAAAGGGACAGACAGAAAATGTTAGAGTGTAAGAGTGCAGGAGGGATAAAGATGAAGAAAGACAGATGAAAACAGATGTCAGACTGTTTGTATTTTTACAGTCAACACACATCAATAGCAACAAGCTCCTGAGTTAAACTCATACTTTTAACATAGAACAGGAAGTAGATAGGGCATGCTTTATTCATATTTGTTAATTCCCACCACGGTTATTATAGTAAACTAAAACTAAACTGAGAACTACAACTAGGTGTGAAACAACATTTTAGTAAACTAAAGTGAAAAACAAAAAGCAGACTTAAGAAAAAACAGCAACTAACTGAAATGATGTTGTGTATTTACAAAACTAACTAGAAAAATATACAGGATATGTCTTTAGTTTTAGTCTTTGTAAATCTGATCAAATGTGCCAACACAACAAGCATAAGGAAGTGTTGGTGCATAGGTCTATTGAGATTGTAATGCCTACATGACTGGGAGTCAATTGCATTCACAAAGTGTTGTGTTTGTACTGCAATATCTATTGTCTGAGTGTCTTGTATATTGCCCTTGTAAAATACACCCACAATATAAAAAAAATAAATAAATAAATAAACTAATACTGGAACTGATAAAAACAAAACTGAAACTAAACATTTTTATACAATGAAAAAAATATATAAAATAACTGAAACTAAACTGAATTGAGAACAAAAATTCAAAATAAAATAAAAATAAAAACTTATCAAAAACACTAAATTAAAACTCTGGTTCAAACTCACAGGCAGCTTAAACGTCTGTGTTGACTCTCCGTTCTCATCGTAAGTGAACGTTCCCAGCAGTGTTCCTTCTTCTGTGTCATTTTTCATTCCCTGAAAAAGAAAAGGCAACATCACACCTAAGTCAGAGTACTGACCATGACTTCCAAACTAGAGTAGAAATATGTCCATTAAATGAAAGCTTGTATATAGACTTGCAAAAGAGCATACAAGTGCCAAACAGCCAACGCTTTTCCAAAATATTCATTTTAAAGTTATGTGTTTTTAAAAAACATTACACTGTTATTTTTTTCTAAATGACACATTAAAAGACACGAGGTTAAGGAGGGTTTGTGTTTGCTAAGAGAGAGCATGCAGTTCAGTAAACCTCTTTTTAAGCAACAGCAGTCACAGGCTGTCAGGCTGTGTTTCTAGACCGGGAGCACTCACATAGACTTCAAAGTCTTTGGGGGCGGAGTCGATGTGGCCGGTGGGGGAGTTGTAGCGTGGCAGGTGGTCAAGTGTCACATGAGTTAAAGTGATGGGGTGAGACAGAGAGATCACAAGAATCCCCTGGACACCATGGAACGCCCAACATTTCCCTGGGAGCAGCACCGGGAAGCCCTGGAAGAGAAGGAGGAGACAGAGCTGTTGGTGTCCTGCCAAGTGGTAAAAACTGTATGATCTTTTACGAACTAGAAAACATTGAGAGAGAAGGAAAAGGGAGCAGAGGGGAAAATATAGAAATACGGACAGGATGATCAATTTGTCCAGGAGAATAAAACAGATTTGAGATGATGCTAGTCAGATATAAAACAGAGAGAACATTTACAAACCTGAATAACAGTGCGTGGGCTCTCAGATGGATACCACAGAGGGAATCCAAACAGGGTCACACATGCTGAACGAATACGATACGTCTCTGAACACCTGGTGCTGATCACACTGGCACCTGCACACACACACACACACACACACACACAGACACACAATAGAAAATAAGAGTTTAAAGCCATAAATATATCTTTGCTTTTTGTTGTTTTAATGCAAACACATATATCATCATTTTTCCATCTCAGAAGCATAGCGACGGTACGACCATTTCTACATGAAAAAGATGCAGAAAAACTGATTCATGCCTTTATTTAAAGCCAAGAGGAGAGAACACGTCGGGCCAGTCTTAGCTGCTCTGCACTGACTTCCTGTTACAGTTAGATTTGATTTTAAGCTCCTCCTCCTTGAATACAAAGCCCTAAATGGGCTGGGACCGAGCTACATTGCTAACTCCCTTGTTAACTATTTGCCTCCAAGAACAGTGCGATCATCTGCTGCTGGTTTATTGGAGGTTCCCAGAAACAGCCAGGAGAAGATTGGGAATGCAGCCTTTGTCAATTACGCCCCAAAGCTATGGAACACACTACCTAGAGATATCCGGGAAGCTAGCTGCAACTCTTTTAAAATCTTACTTGATTTAATGATTTATAGTTTACAATTCTATGATTTTATGATATAATTCATCTTGCGACTTTTCTGTTTTATGTCCATTATGTCTATTTTCATGTGAAGCACTCTGTGCTGCATTTCTTGTATGAAAAGTGCTGTATAAATAAAGTTTATTATAATTATTAAATATTGGTAAATAAAGCCAAGTGAAAGTGACATGGAGATTTTCCCAACCTTGAGTCTCCAGTGCAAAGTCGGCCATTTTGTCAGCCATGGGACGTCCACAGTCTGAGCAGCTTCCTTTATCACCGAGCCTGACAGCATCCTGCTCCTGATTCACATTTACATACAGTACAAACCATGAGTATATATAAATATATGCATTAATAGATCATACACATTAACACTGAAATCAGATCATGTAAGCAGTATTGCTCAGACGTCTAATAAAAAACTAAAGTCTATCACCATGACTATAACAGATTTTCTTGTGCTGTGATAAGGCTTATATGGGTTCAGAGCCGGTACAAGTCCTGAGAATGATCTCCAGTATCTGTCCCTCCACCCACCTTGATGCGGTCAGTGAACCACTTCTCCATGGCCTGTTGGAGCTCTGGAGTGAGTTGGTTTTGGACGGGGGCGGTGCTCGGATCAGGACAGGGGGCAGGAGGAGGCATCAGCTGGATGGACGACCACTTCTGGAACAGCTACAAGAGACAAACAGTCAGATTATAGCAACACTATGTAAAGGAAACATGTCAGGTTGGAAGATGATATAAACAAAAGACAGGATTAATGCATGGCTCCGTCTTTCAGTGTGCAGGATTTAGAGGAATATATTTGCAAAAATGGAATACAATATAATAGGTATATTTTCTTTAGTTCATAATCACCTGAAAGTAAGAACTGTTGTGTCTGTTACCTGAATATGAGCTGTTTATATCTACACAGAAGGCGGGTCCCTGTCTACGGAGGTGACCAACCAAACACTGGCTCTAGATAGGGTAATTCGTAGTTTAATAGTTTCAGTGTGGGGCACCGTAGTTAGACGCCCTTTCACGACGAGCAGTGTTAGAAAAACACAGATTTTTTTAATGTGAAACGGCTTTATTCTGTGTATTTACCTGTTTAAATCACTGTGTCTGTTTGTTTATGAGAGGAAGAGACCTCTGTGGATAATTTGGCTCCTGGTACAAACCTCCTGAACAAAGAATGCTGAAGGAATTCCACCCAGGAGAAGTTTCAGCTGGTTGCAATCTGCAATCCTCACCGCTACATGCCACTAAATCCCCCTAAATCTTACACACTGGACCTTTGAGTCTATCGTTGTGTAAATGTCTACCAGTGTGGTTACCTCAGTATTCTGGGCCTCTAAAGCTTGGATCCTAAGGCTGAGGCTGGTGGCAGCGGAGCGACTGTCTGTCTGGTGATCCACCATCTGCCTGCCCAACTCCGCAAGCTCCTGCTCCAAACGCAGCCAACTGTCTGAGTCCAAAGTCTCAAGCTTGGTTTTCATATCATGCATGTCCAGCTGTAGTCTCTCCTTCATCTGAAAGAGAAAGACATGACAGGGTCAGTCACTACTGGACTTATGGTGAGTTCAGAGGATAAGTGTTTGGCAGTGACAGGGTAGGGAGTATCATTCCAACCAGTCGAGAGGCTCTGCAGTGTAACAGGTTACTGCTGAGTCGAGACCGTGGGTCTAATTGAACATTACATAACTGATGGGAAGTGAGCTCTTGGTAGCACAGATGTCACGTCATTCACACTCTCTAAAAAGCTAGTTCTTGTTTTGCATTTCTAAGCAACATCTCTAAAACATACCATTCCTACTGAATTAAACAGAGACATAAAGATATAGCTTGGACCAAGGAATTACTGCTGGATTATTTTCATGGATTTTATATAAAGATCACTATTAAAATTAGAGGTTTTTTTATATATTACCCTAAACCTACAACAGATAATAAGTTTAAATGTTTTAAGGTAAAAATAATCTGTTTAAATCATGAATGATGCCTTTATTGTCTGCAAAAACAAGGTAGAAAATTGTCCAGGATTGGGAAAGGTTTGAACTTCCAGAGTACACGTAAGTTACACAATACAAAACAAGAAAGCTACCAAATGAAGCAGAAAATCAGCTTGTATCCCCTGCAGTTCCCCATTACCACCACTAGATGTCACTCCAGCAAGGCTGGATTTTGACCCTGATGTTACTCCCACTCTCAATTCCATCCTGGCCTCACCAGGCAGGACTTATACCACACACAGTTTGTTCCTACAAGAGGAAAGGAATGAGAGAAGACAAGGAAAATAAAAGAGAAAGAAACAGGCAGAAACAGAGAGTGAGATTCCCTCACCTGAAAGAGAATTTGTTGCTGCTTCAGCTGCTGCTCCTCCTGCAACAAACACAGATACAGGTTACACTCCAAAAACAAAGAGAAGCTGACGTAGCAAATAAATCACACATTAGAATTTGCAGACGATTCGTGTCTTACCAAAAGACGCTGCATCTTTGTTTCTACAGCAGCAGCAGACACAGCGGCTGAATCCTAGAGGGGAAAAAAAGACTCTTAAGATAACAAAAAAAGACCCCACATTTTCATGCAAACAACCCCAAATAAAATATGTGATTTGTCATTTTTAAAGATTTGCAGATGATCTTTGTCTTACCAAAAGACGTTGCATCTTCGCCTCCACAACAGCAGAGACAACAGCTGGATCCTAGAGGGGGTAAAAAGGACTCTTACTACATCGAGGTAATGAAAAAGACCTTGAAGTTTCATGCCAACAACCTTCGAATAAATAGGTGTTTGTCTTATAGTTGCTCACATAAAAGGGGCTCAATATGACATTCAGAGCATATCTATGGTTCAGAGGTTGTCTGCTTACAGTTCTCAACATGGAGGTTAGCTGGCAGCTAGCAGCTGAGGGGGTATTGCTATCTTTACGTAGCTAATAGTTGTTTGCTGCTAAATTAATGCTCTGACTACTGTATAGAGCTCCTTTAATCAATCCTTCATGTGTTTGTGGGCTTTTCAAATTCTTTAAAAGATGGCCGAGGGTTTTTAGACCCATCCGTTTGACCTCTTTACGGAGTGGCCAACAAGTCTGACACAACAACATGACACTTGAAACTTAGATATCTTTTATAACTTGAGACTCGTAACAGAATGGGCTGTACACTTCCTTCTCTTTTAAATGAATTCTTTTGGTTACCAGTTCTCTGTAGTCTATTAATACTGATGTGTGTTCTCGTACCATCTTACAGTTCTGCTGTGTCAATGTAACTCTTATAAATTCCCACATTGGGCTAGGAAATAAATACTATACATTGTTCATGTACAGGCCTGCAAAATGTAAATGAAGGAATGGACGCGTTACACAACAGGGAAGAACTCTGAGGATCTGAACTCCTCAGTGGCAAAGCTGAAGTTATATGGAGAGGCTAGGAAACATTTGCAACAGCCCTTAGTACTCTACTGATCCACCCACCCACTCATCCATGTCAATCAATTTAAATTTAACCCTCACACACACACACACACACACACACACACACACACACACACACACACACACCAGTGACAACCAGTAAGATGAAGATTAACTGCCCTACCACCACGGGTGTAGGATGTATGGTGCTGGGTTGAGGAGGAGGAGTGGCTGGGAGAACAGGTTGACTCTTAGGTTTTGTCTGTGACGGGGTCTTTGTGACAGCCATGCGAGAGAAGAGTGAGCTAAACCAGGGAAGAAGGAACCAAAGACCTGGAGAAAACAGGAGGAATGCTGCCTTAGGAATAGTCTGCACAAAGTAATCATCATCAGGCTTCATGAACCTTCTAAGATCAAAGTCCTCATCATGTGAAACTTGTAATGACTGACATTTACTGTGACTCATTCAGTCGCACTATGGTGGGGACACGCGGCAGATGAGACCAAGCTTTGTGGCCGTGCAAGTCAAAGACGCACACATTTTGGGGCGGACCCTGCTGCCACCTCTGCCAACCAAGTATTTTGGGGGAAACCCCAAGTACCACAAATCTAAAGCCCAGCTCAGACCAAAGATTCACGACAAGACAAACTGAAACACACAACTACTTGCAGTATTGTTCTGCAAACCTGGTGGTTTACACCGATGCATCTAGATGAGACGATGCATTATCTTTATGCAACAACTCTCTGTACTTCTGTTCTGATTTCCAGCTTTTCAGGCTCATTTTTCTTAAAACATGAATGAGGATAGTGATGATGAGATACTGACTATAGCTGCATTTGTGGTAGTGATGAAACGGAGAAAAACAAACAAAACAAGCATCACATGGATTGTATTTATAATAAATACACCACAATAATATGAATAACCAGCACCACTTAATCAGTTAATGAGATTGTGTGTGGGCTGGGCATAAGGACATACAGCGAGCAGCAGCAGCGACCCACTGTCTGACGACGGCACACCGTGAGGATGGAAACAGAGGGTCCAGCAGGGACGGAGCACCTGCTTCAGCAAGCGAACATGCCGGCTGAGGTCATTTTGACTTGACCAGCGGACTTCACTAGAAGTCACAGGTTTCAAGCTTGAAGACCAGCCACCGGTGATATGGCCAGCTGACTTGCAGGTGACACCATCAGCCAGCTTGAGTCAAGCTCAGACGATCAGTTTATACTGCTGCAACTTTTCTGTGCAACGTTCTAAAAGGGCTTCATCTCGTTGCGAATCATTGGTCTGAACTGGGCTAAAGTCTTGTAGGAATTTCATTATCACACTACAAAAAGCAATGTTTTTAAAAATATACACAATTATAAAAACTACAGAGCAATCACCAAAACTGGCATTCTGGCAATCACTGGCATTCTTTTAGCAACTTTATGAGCATCATGTTAAACATTTTCTAGTCAGTGAGATTTTCCAAAGCAAACATTAAGAGATAAGGTATTTTTAAAATGTCACTTTCTCACAACAAAACATGGGAAACCTAGATTGTAACATTTAAGGCACAGCATAACTACGAACTCTAGATGTCCCAAGGGGGGATGAGGTGTCACCAAGTTTAGCTTTAGCTCTAAAAACATAGTAGATGCAAACTTGAATATGTAAAATGTTTATGTCACTTACATAGAAGTATGAGGAGCAGGAGGAGAAACAGACAACAAGCCTTCTTCATGCGACTGCTGACTGAAGTATTAGCTGCAGGGACACAAAAAAGGTTGATTTAGAGGGATTTCGATGAGCTGGAGCCAAATCACATGCAGAGATTGTGAAAACACAAACCTACTGACATGTGAAAGCAGCATGTATGTGAAAATGTGAACACATGCTCCACAAATCCTCTAAACAATGTTAGAAAAACATGCACATGCTGTTCATACACGTGCAAATAGAGACAAACTTAAATACAAACACTAAACCCATACCTAAAGCTGCCACATGCATTATTTTTGACTGCGCTGCAGCGGCCATCAATTTACTTGAGTCTACACAAAATAAAGAAAATGACGAGATTAATAAACAGGCATGCAAAGACACACACATGCAAACAAACACACACACGCCCTGCAGTTCTCACCCATTAGATTAACGAAGGCACTGTTGATTCTGCTTCTGTATCCAGCACTGGGAGCCTCACTGTCACTGCCGGTTCTACTGGTACCACTGGTGGCGGTGGCTGTGGGCTTCCTGTGAGGACCCTCAGAGGACGAGTACCCTGAGCTGTCCACGCCGCTCTGACTCAGCTCCTTGTTGCTGGGTCTGAGGTGTAATCCTGGCTGGCTGGAGCTGCAGATCCCAGTGTAGGGGCCCTTCTCTGGAGGTACTGAGGGGCAGCGTGTGGGCGTCTGACCCCGGCTTGATGACGGGGTCAGGGGTGGCCGAGGGGTGGCTGTGGTGGAAATGTACGGCAACGTCCTCATGGTCGGCTGAGTCTGAATGCTCAAGGGAGAAGGATTCAGGCCTGTGGGGCAGACAGGAGATGAAACAAAAATAGAGAGCAACAGTCAGATAATTTGTTGGCTACGACTTTTCTAAAAGAAAATGGACATTTTATCATGTATTTATTTTATGGTGTATTATTTATGGAGTTGTACTGACAGCATATAATGTCTATTACTTTTGCAGTGATAGGATGTTGTGTTGTTTTTACCATCATACTGGCCCGCAGTGATAGGCGGCTCTGAGCTGACAGAACTAGCATTGCTGTTGGCTCTATTGGGGGTGCGGGAGCCGGCCTTGCGGTTCCCTGCCTTCTTCTTGAAAACCCTGTCGATAATAAACACACACGGGAAGGTGGCATGGGGCGAAGGACAAAGATTACTTATCTTTACAGTTTGTAAATCAGAGCTGGTGACTATAATCAAAACTACATACAGGAGCACACGTGCGAACACACACACACACACACTTAAAATTACTTACTTGACAGGGTTTTCACGGTAGGAAATATTTGTCACACTACTTGAATCAGATTCTTCATCTGAATTATAGTAGCCGCCGGACACCAGGCGAGAACTCCTACGAGACATGGCTGAAAGAAACAGAGTGAACAATAATAAGATACAATTCATCAGTAATTTACTCCTGAAAATCAGAACATGCTGGCAGGAGGAGGTCAACACAGCTCAGCTCAATATAAGCTACATGTCATAATTTCAGTTTCATGGAGTGAAGTCTTTAGGAACACTGCTGCATTGTGTTCAGAATACTGTATACATGTTTATGCTTATTTTAAACACATATTAAGCTAACAAAACCAACAAAATGTATCACACAGAATTGACGATAGCTAACGTCAACAAAATATTGACTATTTTCTGTCTACTGAGATACTTTTTTAGACCAACAAAACTTTACTTGGAGTATCCAGATTCAAGCTTACGCCATAACTGCAGTTCTCACGGCTTCTTTTGTTGGATCCCTAACACATCAGTCCCAACAAGGAAGACACACACACACATTTAAAAATATGCTTGTCTTACAGTGACAGGCCCCCTCCCCCAAAAAATAAATTGGGAGATGGTACACATAATTATATTTTATAAAACCCTAAATGATGCCATTCAGCCCTTTTTTTTTTTGGTGCAAAGAGCAGCAGTAGCAACAGCAACCCGTGGCATGCTAGTTAGTGGGAGCAGTCGTAGGTAGGGTTTTAGCATCAGCAACAGCGGGTAGTTATTTTAACAGTAGCAGTAGCACCAGTAGGTAAAGCTGGTGTAAGTAACAGTGCATGTGGTACTAGTGGTAGATGCAATAGGTAGTAGTTAGGTTAGATGCACAATAATATCGGGACGTCATCAGTATTAAAACGAATGATAAGAATCAGCCAACATTCTTTTTCTTAATTTACACAATGAATGATTATTACATACAGTACAGGCCAAAAGTTTGGACACACCTTCTCATTCAATGCGTTTTCTTTATTTTCATGACTATTTACATTGTAGATTCTCACTGAAGGCATCAAAACTATGAATGAACACATGTGGAGTTATGTACTTAACAAAAAAAGGTGTAATAACTGAAAACATGTTTTATATTCTAGTTTCTTCAAAATAGCCACCCTTTGCTCTGATTACTGCTTTGCACACTCTTGGCATTCTCTCCATGAGCTTCAAGAGGTAGTCACCTGAAATGGTTTTCCAACAGTCTTGAAGGAGTTCCCAGAGGTGTTTAGCACTTGTTGGCCCCTTTGCCTTCACTCTGCAGTCCAGCTCACCCCAAACCATCTCGATTGGGTTCAGGTCCGGTGACTGTGGAGGCCAGGTCATCTGCCGCAGCACTCCATCACTCTCCTTCTTGGTCAAATAGCCCTTACACAGCCTGGAGGTGTGTTTGGGGTCATTGTCCTGTTGAAAAATAAATGATCGTCCAACTAAACGCAAACCAGATGGGATGGCATGTCGCTGCAGGATGCTGTGGTAGCCATGCTGGTTCAGTGTGCCTTCAATTTTGAATAAATCCCCAACAGTGTCACCAGCAAAACACCCCCACACCATCACACCTCCTCCTCCATGCTTCACAGTGGGAACCAGGCATGTGGAATCCATCCGTTCACCTTTTCTGCGTCTCACAAAGACACGGCGGTTGGAACCAAAGATCTCAAATTTGGACTCATCAGACCAAAGCACAGATTTCCACTGGTCTAATGTCCATTCCTTGTGTTTCTTGGCCCAAACAAATCTCTTCTGTTTGTTACCTCTCCTTAGCAGTGGTTTCCTAACAGCTATTTGACCATGAAGGCCTGATTCGCGCAGTCTCCTCTTAACAGTTGTTCTAGAGATGGGTCTGCTGCTAGAACTCTGTGTGGCATTCATCTGGTCTCTGATCTGAGCTGCTGTTAACTTGCCATTTCTGAGGCTGGTGACTCGGATGAACTTATCCTCAGAAGCAGAGGTGACTCTTGGTCTTCCTTTCCTGGGTCGGTCCTCATGTGTGCCAGTTTCGTTGTAGCGCTTAATGGTTTTTGCGACTCCACTTGGGGACACATTTAAAGTTTTTGCAGTTTTTTTCCGGACTGACTGCCCTTCATTTCTTAAAAGTAATGATGGCCACTCGTTTTTCTTTAGTTAGCTGATTGGTTCTTGCCATAATATGAATTTTAACAGTTGTCCAATAGGGCTGTCGGCTGTGTATTAACCTGACTTCTGCACAACACAACTGATGGTCCCAACCCCATTGATAAAGCAAGAAATTCCACTAATTAACCCTGATAAGGCACACCTGTGAAGTGGAAACCATTTCAGGTGACTACCTCTTGAAGCTCATGGAGAGAATGCCAAGAGTGTGCAAAGCAGTAATCAGAGCAAAGGGTGGCTATTTTGAAGAAACTAGAATATAAAACATGTTTTCAGTTATTTCACCTTTTTTTGTTAAGTACATAACTCCACATGTGTTCATTCATAGTTTTGATGCCTTCAGTGAGAATCTACAATGTAAATAGTCATGAAAATAAAGAAAACGCATTGAATGAGAAGGTGTGTCCAAACTTTTGGCCTGTACTGTACATTGTTAAGTATTGTATTTCATGTTTCCATCTGCTGGTGGATCACATACAAAGAAGTCCACACGCACATCCAAACCAAAAACAGACCGGCGCTGAGCCGAAACAGTGCATACAAAAGGAGATTAAATCAGTTTGCGCACACTGCAGGGCTCCAATGCTCAGTCGAATTTATTCGAATATAAGTAATGTTTCGAGTGTCAGGCTCTTCATCAGACTAGTCTAGTCTGATGACTAGACTAGTAAATTCGACTGAGCATTGGAGCCCTGCAGTGTGCGAACTGATTTAATCTTCTTTTCCATCTGCTGGTGGGCCATCACGTGAGAGTATGCATGCACAATATGATGTTAATTCCACTACAGAAGAGACTTGATGATCACTAAAATTAGGTGGGGAAAAAAGTGGATATATCGATTATCAGTCAAATGAATTGTTACATTTCGGCATATCGTCAATCTGCAAAAAATCCATTATCGTGCACCCCTACATTCAACCCATTTTACATCGTGCAAAGAGCAGCAGTAGCAACAGCAACTTGTGACATGCTAGTTAGTAGCTACAGTAGTACAACTGTAACCCATGTTTACTAGCATCAGTAACAGCGGGTAGTTATATTTTAACAGTAGCAGTAGCACAAGTAGGGTAAAGCTGCAGTAAATAATAACAGTACATGTGGTACTAGAGGAAGTAGGTAGTAGTCAGGTTACAAAATTAGAACAATTTCTAGCCAAATGCTGGCTCGTGGGTTTGCTTCACTCACCAACCGAAAAAATAAATAAAAAAATAGTTATCTCAATTTGCTGGTGGACAAAAAGTTAATTTTGCACCCTGCTAGCACTGCTACTGAAAGTATCAGTCACAAACGCAGCACAGTTAGTAGAAGTGTTGAAGTAGTAGCAGCCACAGTACCAGCAGTAGTGGTCACCGTGGTAGCTCAGTTAACACAAGTCACAACAGCAGTTATAGCAGTCATATATTAGTTAAGTAGCAGTGGTAATAGTAGCAGATAACAGGACTGATAGTAGCAGTAGTTGGTAACCAATACAGTACAGTACAAGATGCAGTGGTACAGTAGCAGCTGATGTAGCAGTGGTAGTAGTAAAGTCTCTGACAGATGCTCTCTTGCTTAATCTCCAGAGTCTGTAATCCAGCTAATCTACAGGAGTCATCCTGCTGCTCAAACACTTGCTGAGACTTACAGAGAAGAGATAAAACATCACAACACACAAACAAATGCATCTAAACACAAGCTTAAAGAACAAAGAAATGCACTGTTTGTGTGCTACTTGCAGAAACATATAGAGCACAAATAGCACAAAGCAATACTACAGAGACAAAAACACAAATGCAGCATACCTTAATGGACCCACCATACTTTAAGTGAAGAAAACATTTACAGTTTAACAGCAGGTGATGTAGATGATGATAGCAAAGACCGTAACCTGAATTCAGCTGCACTACATTGTGTTCATCATGTTTCTTAGAGAGTACCTGCCAGGCTTACTCTCAGAAATGTTGCCATCACAACCATTATGTAACAAGCATCTTAAGTAGAGCAGTCTGATTGGTCAGTGTGTTCTTACAGTGTACATGATTAGCATAAACCACATCTCACAAGCTTTGCTGCTTGCTGTGCTGTCTCCTGTCGCAACCAAACTTACATGTTACCCCTTAGATTAATGTGAATTAAACGGAAAGGCCAACGAAGTAAATAGCGGCCTCTTGTATATCAACACCAATATGTATATCCATTAATTCTATGCAGCAGAAATCAGACTGTAAACAACAGCTACTTACACATATTCATATTATAGAAAAAACAACACATATTTATTGAAGTATACTACTATTTCAAGAGTGCTGTAAGAAAAAGGTCTTAGTATTGATTCATCCGACTTCAACTGTCCATCCTGCTAAATGTCATCGATAAGTTCATCTGACTAGCTCCAGAAATGCTGCTCTGTAGTCTCTCCTTATGTCTGAGCTCCAGGTGGGGACACAAGCAGACAGTTAAAGCTCTAAGAAGTAGTTTGCACCACATCCTAATGTCGTAGGTGCATGTTATGACACTGAGCACACACACACAGACTCATCACCAGGAAAAATGAAACATTTTTGACATCTTGGATTTTCTGGCTCACTTCTGGTGCATCTCTGCAACTTAGACAAGTAAGATGTTTGAAAGTAACCATATTTTGAAAGTTATAAACGTTACGTCTATCCACTCTGAGGCACTACTCCACACCGTCAGAAAGTCTACTAACCTTGAGAAACTGATTTGTGATCCAGTCTTTACAGAGTATTCTGCATCCTCTCCATTAAAAAGAGAATTGTGGTCTCAGAGGAGCTAAAGTGGTTACAGTCCGAATTAGCCTTCTGATATCATTAGCCGGGGACAACACTACAGCAGAGCAGTGACTATCTAATGCTGCTGAAAAGAGCGGCAGAGGATGACAGAAAGGGAAGCTGTGGCTGTTTGTACCCAACAGAGAGACAGGAAGTCAGTCTGAAAGCAGACACGCACATA